AGTGTAAAGTGTAGAGTGTGGAGTGCGGAGCTTCCCCCATAGACACGGCGATGCCACAGGAAAACCAGCGACTCGAGACAGGACACGTGGATGCAGAAAAACCAGCATTTCGTACGAGACGTCCTCCAATTTTGAGATTTTCGACACATTATCAAACAGGTTGGAATCGCAAAACGACATGACAACCTGCGTGGAAACATTCGAAAAGGTGAGGTTTTGCGGCTTCCCCCATAGACACGGCGACGCCACAGGAAAATCAGCGACTCGCGACAAGACACGTGGATGCAGAAAAAACCGCATTTCGCACGAGACTTCCTCCAATTTTCACAGTTAGCAACATGACAAAAGGAGAAGTTTTGCAGCTTCCACCATAGACACGGCGAGGCCACGGGAAAACCAGACACGCGAGACGAGACAGGTGGGAGCACCAAAACGAGCATTGCGTGCGAGACTTCCTCCAATTTTCACACTTTGTAGCTTCAAAATCGACGTTTTCCTACGAGTTTTCCTTAGAACCCGAAAATTGGCAACATCAAAATCGATGTTTCGTGCGAGGCATCCGTCAATTTTCAGCACATCGCACAAAATGCCACGCCTGCCACGGAATTTGCACCTCTTCGCCACTTGACGCAGCCCTGCCAATGCGATTTACAAAAAACACGCAACACGACACGTCTAAAGTGCTGCGCCTGCCACGCCAAATGACGATGGACACGTCCAAAGTGCTGCGCCTGCCACGAAAACTGCAACACATCTTCTGAAAACGTCGCAAAAGTATTGCGCCTGCCACGCAAAACGATTTTCGACACGTTCCAGAACACGTCTGAATGTCACCAAGTGCCACGCCTGCCACGCGAAACGAAGCAACAACACGTCTGAAACCTCCAAAAAGGACCACCTCTGCAAAACTTCCCATAGGCACGGCCATACGGGGATCGTGCGAACGGTTGCGGACGGTTGCGGACGGTTGCGGACGGTTGCGGACGGTTGCGGACGGTTGCGACCGTGAACGCAACGTCGAGCGAACACACCCTCAACCCCCAGACCCCCAGAGTGAAACGGGAACCCTTGCTACGCATTCGGGAAAAATTATTTGGGGTCCCCTGAACCCAAGAAAACATGATAGTTCCGCCACGCTTGAATAATTTTACCTGAAATATCCTGAAATTAATTTAGGTGGGTGGGGAGTGAACAATTTATTACATCTAGGTGGGGGGAACTGCTACCGAGCAAATTAATATTGGTACCTTGAACTGAGTTGGGACCCGTGGGATTAATTTAAAAATTAATCGAGGTGGGGGACCACCCTGGGGGACCGTTAAGGCGGTAGTCATGGAAAAAGCTTACCGAAAAGCTGAAGGAAAATCAGTTCCTTTTCAAAGCGAAGTTTGAGGAACATGCAGCAGAGCCCCGTCCAGTGCAGAGGTCCGCTATCCTGCGGCACCATGGTCGTCGGTTTTCCACATGTGCCGACTGGCATTGGCGAATCCCCAGCAGGCCACCAAGCCTCTTGCAGCGAGGTGTCATGAGCATGACAAGATGTGTGATGTTTTGCCACAGCCCCAGATGGATTCAAGGGCCTCCGTCTGCATTGGGCAGGTGTGAATTGCTATGACTGGAGCCTTATGGGCTCACGATATGGCTGGCTTGGACAGAGCGCACCTAGCTTTCTGCAGTGGGCTGCTGAAAAGCACTTCGCAGAGGATGATGCTTTACTTGCTGAGTGTGTCGACAATTTTGATTCCGAGTGCCTGGAGGACATGATGTGAGACAAGTTTTCAATGGCAGTTTTTTTTGCTTTGCCAACACTTTTTGGTGAGCCTGTCGAGAGGCGCAGAAAGTTCATGGTGCTCCTGAAGAAAAAGAAGTTCAAGTGGTGCGAGGCAGTGGCAACGTAGGGGCTTCAAAAAGCCTTTGAGAGGCTCTTTCCCAGGACAACAGAGATGTTCGGCCATGAAAAGTTTCGAGCCCCAGCTTAAGGACTTGGAAAAGGCCCGCGATGCTTTGGTTCAACGGCGAGGGTTGCCCAGAAGAAGCCGCTCTGGCAAGAAATGGAGCTTCGTCCAAGCTTTGACCCGAAGTGCTCGGCAGCAAATTTTGAAACTTGAGAAGGCCCCGCCAGCCGGTAGCTTGTCAATCAAGACCTGGTTCACCTTCGCCATGGCCAGCAGCCGCCGCTCCAAGGCATTGAGGGCGGCTAAGGTTGGCGGGGTTGGCGGCAAAGTCGGCAGAACGTACTTGGTCCTCTTCTCCCGACAGTTCTTGCAAGCCATCTTCTCCATCCTCCTCGACTGCAAGCAATACCTGCCCGGGGTCAAGGTGCCGCACTCATCGCAAGCCTTGGACAAGCCAAAGCGGCCCCACTTGCGAAGGAATTTCTGGTACTTGCCTTTCACCTGCTCGAAGTTGTCGTCGTTGGCGAAGGGCGGGCCCCGTTTCACCTCCTCCGTATCTATTGGCCGGCCGCCTTCTCCTGGGCAAGGTCCGCGCTCGCCAGCTCCCTTCGCCTGGCGCTCTTCTTTGCGCGCCTGTCTGCTAGCTTGCGCTGCGGCGTCTTGTGGTCGGCCGCCTGCTCCTTCTCCTGGGCAAGGTCCTCGCTCGCTAGCTCCCTTCGCCTCGCGCTCTTCTTTGCGCGCCTGTCTGCTGGCTTGTGCTGCGGCGTCTTGTGGTTGGCCACCTGCTCCTGGGCAAGGTTTCGAGTTCCTACTTTGCTGCGCTCATCAAAGAGCAGAATTGTTCGATCTGCAAGGCTTCAATGTCTATGGCGATGACACCAATGATGGGGCATCGCAACCTCACCCTCAGCAATGCACACTTGCCAGGACCCTCAAGCCTCTTAGCCCAAGGCAAGCACAGAGCGCATCTGGCAATGGCATGCACCTGAGAGTGTGAGTGCACTGGTTTTGTTTACCATGGCTTGCGTCGAGAGCATTGAGTGACCAGAGTCCATGTGGGACAGATCTTTCCCACCTGCTGTTGGGCTACCAATGTCTTCAGACCTAACAGATGTTGCGCAACAATTGCAGCAGCGCTTAACAGAAAAAGGTGCTCCTTTGCTCTTTGACTGTTGGATTGTTTGATTTTTGATTCATGGGTGACTTGAGAAAAGGTTTCCTTTCATCTTCTTAAGCATCACGAACCAAGTTCGCTGAGAAATCCGCGTGGTATGCGCACAGGAAAGGAAGGATGCCCCTTTAGAACACATTTGCTTTAGTTGGTCATTGAATTCCGCTCACCAACTGCAACAGCTTGTGTCCTGACTGGATGCTGCAAGCAAATATCGCATGGCCAAGTAAGTTAAGATCCTTTCCCCACAACCCTTGTTTGCAATGAGCTATATGGCCAAGTGTTCAGACTCAGTTTCGCGGCCTGCTTTGTGTTCTTCAGCGGTTTTTGCTCAGCTACCATTTTGCCAAACGAGAGCTGCCTGCTTCAGTGAGGCATGGATGCAGAAGCAGGGCCTCTCACAAGCTTAGGCTTTGCCAGTGACCAAGGGATTGACTTCGCCGACCTACGTAGTCAGTCAGAGGAATCCCACAAGTCTAGGGGCAGCAAGCAAGGACAAGAAAGCTGGAGACGAGAAAGTTAAAAAAAACTGAAGAGCAGCGAGAAGACGCAGACGCAGGCGAAGGCCAAGGCTTTGGGCCATCGCAAGGGGAATGGATCAAAGTCATCTCCAGAGGATGATTGGAAGAAATGCAAGGATTGTGCAAAGTGGAAGGGCGCAAAGACAGATTTCAATGCTGACCAATCAAGATGCAAGGACTGCTTCAGCCATGACCGGTCATTGACCCGCATGGCTGAGAGGCAGGGATGCAAAGGTGCACTTGCGCAGATGCAGCGCGATGATCCCAAACAGCACACAGCCATGCTAAAGGCTTTCATCAAGGAGAGGGAATCATCCAAGAAGGCTGGCGACAAGATCAAGTTTTCAATCAAGACTTTCCGGTTGCCTACCAGTCCCGGGATGGAGTCAGAGGGGAGGAGCTGGGTGAGATGATGCGGGAGGGGGAGTACATGGAGTTTGCGAAGACAGGCAAGGCAGGCTTCTTGAGTTCTCAGCAAGTGATTGCAAATTGGTAGGAGTGGAAAGAAGATGAATCAGTCGCCCGGGACAACAATGGCCCACGTGGCTATTTGAGGCTCCACGTCAAGACCGGAGACAGGGTGGTCAAATTTCAGGAGGTTGGAGAGCAGAAGGAGCTCAGGAGAAGTTGGGGAAAAACTTGCTGGCTCACATGGTCTGGAGGAGCACAAGCTCGGTGACATCCAAAGCTTGAAGCAGAAGGGTTTGCAGCCATTTGGAAGCAGCCAGAGCCTGCAAGGGGAAGGCTTGATGGGCCCATCCCTGGATGCTTTCCAAGCCAAGGTCCAAGCCGAGATGAAAAGAAGAAAGGCGGAGGAGAACGAAGAAAGCAGCTCACAGTCTGTAGATGAAGGGAATGAAGAGAGGCAGTCTGATAGCAAGGAGAAAGATTCAGCGAGCACCCCTGAGAAATCAAAGGGAGGCTGACGCTGCAGCCAAGACTAAGACAAGAAAGGCAGAGAGGACATACTCCCAGAAGATAGCAGCTTTGAGAGTGGACTTAGCCAAGCTGGATGAGCGCTTGTCAGAATGTTTTTGCGGATTTCCAGGCCAAGCCGGACGAAGCAGCACGGTTTGCAGAAGAAAATGCAGCTAGTGCAGAGAAGACAAGAGTGGATTCAGGCAGTTTCAATCCAAGATGATGATGCATTAAAATTTAATAAAACAAAAGATCTCCCAGTTGACAGGTGCAGGAGAAGCACATGGAGCAGGGGAGGCTGCCACCCAGACTGATTCCAAAGATGTTGCTGCTTTGGCACGTGCTGGGCCATGCGCAGGATTTGAAGAGTTGAAGACGATTGGCTTCTTGGAAACTTTGGCGCCGAGCTTCCGTTCATGCCAATCACAAGAGCAGATCAAGAAAAGATTTGAAGAGATTGCGCCCCACCAGAAACAGATTCCTGTTCTTGTCAGTGCTTGCAAGACAGCTTTGGGTGATTTGCTCACAGCCAGAAAAAAATGAAACACCCAACAGGATAAGAAAAAGGAGAAGGAAGTGAAAGAGCAAGCCAAGAAAAAGAGACAAAGCAATCATTCCATGGTTCCACTGGTGCCTTGGTGTTCAACGGTTTTGTTTCTAACTCTTGTATCAGATATCACATGTCAAGAATCAAGACCTTCATTCTTTGATTTTAGGGTAATCTTGTTCTTTGAATCCCTCCGCCCAGCTCCATTCCTTGCTTGCTCTGCAGGTGCAGCCAAGTCCAGAAGGACTTCGAAAGTGGCATCACATCCATTGGCAGACCCTGATTGCGCAGCTTGGCAAGAAGATGTGGGTGCAATCCCTGCCAGCATGACTTTCCAAGTCGAAGCCGTTCATTCTCACCAAAGCGGATGCTGTCTATGGGGATGAGCTAGTGACAAAGCGTTTGAAGGAGTTCGCATCCCTGACTTTGCAGGGGGCCACCGCGTGCACCATGAATTTGGCAAGGAATGGAGCCAAAAAAGGAGCAGAGACACCACCAAATGCTTCGCAAATATGCTAAGATAGCAGCAATTGTAAGCATATATTTTTTATGATGTCTTTCATGGGCATACAACAACTTTGACATTGTCGTGGGAGCTGAAGTTGTCGTGAGGCACCAATGCATGGACATATAACAACTTTGCCTTTCAAGATATGTGCAGATGACAACTTTGGGAGGTCTAGGAAGGGGTCATTTTTGGAGGTGTCAAACGTCTCGTTGCTTCGTTTCGCGTGGCAGGCGTGGCACTTCGTGACATTCAGACGTGTTTTGTAACGTGTCGAAAGTTGCTTTGTGTGGCAGGCGCAATACTTTTGCGATGTTTTCAGAAGATGCGTGGCAGTTTTCGTGGCACGCGCCGCACTTTGGACGTGTCCATCGTCATTTGGCGTGGCAGGCGCAGCGCTTTAGACGTGTCGTGTTGCGTGTTTGTTGCGAATCGCATTGGCAGGGCTGCGTCAAGTGGCGACAAGGTGCAGATTCCGTGGCAGGCGTGGCATTTTGTGAGATGTGCTGAAAAGTGACGGAAGCCTCGCACAAAACATCGATTTTGAGGTTGTAAAATTTAGAGGTTCCCACAAAAACTCGTAGGAAAACGTCGATTTTGAAGCTACAAAGTGTGAAAATTGGAGGAAGCCTCGAACGAAATGCGTGTTTTGCTGCTCCCACGTGTTTTGCCCCAAGTTTCTAGTTTTCCTGTCGCCTCGGCGTGTCTATGGAGGAAGCTCTCCTTTTCGAAGGTTTCCAAGCAGGTTGTCATGTCGTTTTGCGTGCCAGGCGTAGCACTTTGTGACATTCCAACCTGTTTGATAACGTGACGAAAGTCGTCTTGTGTGGCGGGCGCAATGCTTTTGCATCGTTTTGACCAGGTTAGTTGCAATTTTTCGTGGCAGAAGCAACATTTTGGAGAATTCTGTCTTCATTTTGCATGGCACGCGCAGCACTTCAGACGTGTCGCATTGCCTGCTCTACGCTCCACACTCTACACTTTACACTCCACACTCCACATCCTACACTCCTCACTCCACACTTTACATTGTACACTCTACACTCCACACTTTACACTGTACACTCCACACTCCACACTTTACACTCCTCACTCCACACTTTACACTCCACACTCTCAACTCCACACCCCACCGCGCTCTACACTTTACACACTCCACACTGCAAACTCCACACTCCACACTTTACTCTCCACACACCTTACTTTACACCCTGCACTCCTTCCACACTCTACACTTTACACTCTACACTTTACACTCCACACTCCACACTGTAGACTCCACACTTGACACTTTACACTCCACACTCTACACCACACACTCTACACTCCACACACATTGCACTTTACACTTTACACTCCACGCTTTACAGTCTACACTCCACACCCCACACTTTACACTCCACGCTCTACACTTTACACTCCACACTCCACACTTTGCACTTTACACTCCACACTTTACACTGCGCACTCCACACTCCACATCTTACACTCCTCACTTTACATTCCATACTTTACACTCCACACTTTGCACTGTACACTCCACACTTTACACTGCGCAATCCACACTCCACATCTTACACTCCTCACTTTACATTCCACACTCCACACTTTACATTCACACTCCACACTTTACACTCCACACTTTACACTGTAGACTCCGCACTCCCTACTTTACACTCCTCACTCCACACTCTCTACACTTTACACTCCACACTTTACACTGTAGACTCCACACTCCCTACTTTACACTCCTCACTCCACACTCTACACTTTACACTCCACACCCACCACATTCTACACTTTACAATTTACACGCTCCACACTTTACACTCCACACTTTACACTCCACACTCTTCACTTTACACTCCACACCATGCACTCCACACTCGACACTTTGCACTCCACACTCCGCACTCTACACTCCACACTTTACACTTTACACTTCTCACCCCACAATCTACACTTTACACTCCACACTTTGCACTTTACACTCCTCTCTCCACACTTTACACTCCACACTCCACACTTTACACTCTACACTTTGCACTAGACACTCTACACTCCACACTGTCCACTCCTCACGTGACACTTTGCACTCCACACTCCGCACTCTCCACACTTTGCACTCCACACTTTACACTTTACACTCCACCCTCTTCCGCATTCCACAGTCTACAGGGGCAAAATGACTGTTCAAATAACTTGTTTCACAATAGTGTTCTATGGGCTTCATTGGGGTTCGTGGGCTGCATCTTGTTTCTTTGATCATTCATCGTCATTCCTCATGCATAATCATGCATCATCATGCATTAGCAAGGTCATGATCACCATCGTCACCATCATCCTCTTCTTCTTTTCCATCATCGTCATCATCATCATTACCGTCATCATCGTCATCGTGGTCATCATTGTCATCGTAATCGTCGTCATCGTCATCGTCACCAGAATCATCATCATCGTCGTCGTTGTCGTCATCATCATCATCATCATCATCCTCGTCGTAGTCATCATCCTAATTATATCATCGTCATCATCACCATTGTCGTCATCATCACGATTGTTGTTGTCGTCGTCGTGGTCGTCGTGGTGATCGTGGTCGTCGTGATCGTCGTGGTCGTCGTGGTCGTCGTGGTCGTCGTGGTCGTCCTGGTCGTCGTGGTCGTCGTGGTCGTCGTGGTCGTCGTGGTCGTCGTGGTCGTCGTGGTCGTCGTCGTGGTCGTCGTGGTCGTCGTCGTGTCGTCGTCGTGGTCGTCGTGGTCGTGGTCGTCGTCGTGGTCGTGGTCGTGGTCGTGTGGTTGGTCAGTTGGTCGTGGTCGTGTGTCGTGGTCGTGGGCCGTGTCCGGGTCGTGGTCGTGGTCGTGGTCGTGGTCGTGGTCGTGGTGGTCGTGGTGGTCGTCGTGGTCGTCGTGGTCGTCGTGGTCGTCGTGGTCGTCGTCGTCGTCACATCATCATCATCATCATCATCATCATCATCATCATCATCATCATCATCATCATCATCATTCATCATTGATCATTCATCATTCCAGACCACCTTTTTCTTTTTAATTATCTTCTCCTCCCCCCCTCCCGCTCTCTCTCCGGCCACGTCTTACGAGTAGATACATTTTGTCCGAACTGCGCGCCTCTGACACTGTCCACAGCACAAAATTGACACCAGGCTTGTCATGGAACATGGCCAACGTTACCATAACATGACCCGAAGCTCTGAGGTTCCACCACCACTTCCACCACCACTTCCGCCTCCAGCACTTCCGCCTCCAGCACTTCCAGCACCACCATTTCCACCAGCACCACTTCCAGTACCAGCACTTCCGCCTCCAGCACTTCCAGCACCACCACTTCCACCAGCACCACTTCCAGTACCAGCACTTCCGCCTCCAGGACTTCCAGCACCACCACTTCCACCAGCACCACTTCCAGTACCAGCACTTCCAGCTCCAGCACTTCCAGCTCCACCACTTCCAGCACCACCACTTCCACCAGCACCACTTCCAGTACCAGCACTTCCAGCACCACCACTTCCACCAGCACCACTTCCAGTACCAGCACTTCCAGCTCCAGCACTTCCAGCACCACCACTTGCAGCACCATCACTTCGACCAGCACCACTTCCAGCATCAGCACAAGAAGCACAATAACTACCACCACCAGAAGCAGCTCCAGTAGCAGCAGTTCGTCCACAACCACTACCACTTCCACTAGCACATCCACCACCAGCACCACTTCCAGCACCAGCACTTCCAGCAGCAGCACTTCCAGCACTACCACTTTCACCAGCACCACTTCCACCAGCACCACTTCCACCAGCACCACTTCCACCAGCACCACTTCCAGCACCACCACTTCCACCAGCACCACTTCCAGCGCCACCACTTCCACCAGCACCACTTCCACCAGCACCACTTCCAGCACCACCACTTCCACCAGCACCACTTCCAGCACCACCACTTCCACCAGCACCACTTCAACCACCACCATTTCCAGCGCCACCACTTCCAGCACCACCACTTCTAGCACCACCATTTCCACCAGCACCACTTCCACCTCTGCCACTTCCAGCACCACTACTTCCAGCACCACCACTTCTAGCACAAGCACCTCTACTTCTACGACAAGCGGCACCAACACATACTCCATCACAACAAGTGCAACTGTAACAAGCTCAACACAAACAACTGTTACGACTACACGCACAAAACTGCCAGAAGGAGGGCTGACAGAAGATCAACTCAAAGCGCTCGAGGAAGAACGGAAAGAAGAGGCTGCCGCTGCAGTGGCCGAGGCAGAAACTGCTGAAAATGACGCTGTGAAGGCTGCATTGAAAGTGCTCAACAATACGTCACAACAGCCTGGTCTTTTAGGCGAAGTCTCCATTGAGACTGATGCGGGGCAAGTAAGAGTTGCGGCACTTTCAATGGAATCCCTCGCAGATGCTGAGGGCCCGGCAGAAATCAGTGCTGGTTCAGAAACAGGTGGGATTGGTGTGGGCTGAATACAGAATTCTTCGCTGCTGAAATGTTTGGAATTCAAATTCAACCTGGTCTCAAATCTCTTCCGCTTCACTCCGCTTCACCTGCTTCTGAACATTTGAACATTTTTAAGCCTAAGACCTCCATGGTTTTTGTTTGCTCCTTTTGTGGCCGCAGTTTGACAGGGGATTGAATGCATGACTTGCATAATTTGCATTGCCAGATAGTCGAAATGGCCACGCGCTGTATTCCGTTGCCCCGCGACTTGTCCCCATTTCCCTCTTATTGGATCCTGTTTCCAGGTGTTTCCGCGGAGGTCAGCATGGAACTTCTAGGAGAAGTTGCAAGCGCAGCAGGAGCAGGAGACGGCATGATCTTGCTCAGTGCTTTTGAAAGCAAGTGGTGATTTGAGACTTCCATTTTGGGCCAAAACCAAGCTATGGCCCTTGATGTTTTGTGAAAAATGGCCAGGGATCAAAAGTATCAACCCCAAACTTGATCACTCTGAAGATATTTTTGGTGTGGCTGGTAGGCACCCTGATTTTGGCCCCTACCCATGGGACCGAGTTAAAGAGCCCACAGGTTTTTTTTTTTCTGGCTTAACATTCTCCACAATTTGGTCACCTGTAGATCACAAGAGGAGATCTTGCGAAGATCTTGCTCAAATCATCTAAAAGGTCCTTGCATGATATTGTACAGATCCTTGTGAGAAGATGTTGTGGAGATCCTGTTCAAATCCTCCCAAAAAGGCCTTTGCCTGAAGACCTTGAAGGTGCCCTGCATTACAGGTGCTTGTATGGAAGTTCTTCTGGGACGCTCATAGGCGGTTCTTGTATGAATGTGTTTTAATATTCTCTATATAGAAGGTCATTCTCTGATGATCTTGTGAAATGATTCTTGATGTCCTGGTATCAAGTTCCAGTCTGAGGCTCTGAGGTCCTACACACAGAGTTGCTGGTATTTAAAGCATTGGCTTCCTACCCCCACACTGTTTGGGGTCTCTTGCCGATGATTGTTTTTACACATATGATTTGTCACGCGGTGTTTTTTTAATACAAATTTGTCCAGCTTAAATCTTTATCCCCTTCCACACCGCACTTTTTTCCAGGTATGTCCGGTCTGACCGAAGATGCCGCATCCAGCCTTGCGACAGATGACGTTCGCGCGGTGGGTGCCAGGCGCCTGGCGTCGGCGCTGCGGTCCCAACCGATCAGCATACATTTTCGGACCGCAGATGGTGCCATGGTGACAATGCGGTCACAAAAGGTGGATCAAATGGTGATAAACATGGTACATTGGAAATGACAAATATTTTAGTATGAGGACCTAACGTGCCAAAATGACTTACCAAGCCAAAGATGTTTGTTTTTGTTGCATTTACATGGCTGCGAATCAATGAGAAAGAACTAATAAATCATCGGGGGAAATGAGGACTCCCAAATCTTTTGCATCGGGAAGCACTTTAATTTCCAAACCTAAAATGATGATTGATGGGGTGGTACTTGTAGATTAGATTTCCTTTTTGCGGGGTTGCCATATACTCCTACCAATATAGAATGTGTCCAACTCCATGGAATACTGAACCCAAATTGAGTGTGGTTGAGGCAATGTGTCCAACCTGGCAAATTGGAATGAGCACAAAGATTTTGACAGGGATCAACACCCTCCAGGTCGGGGGTTCAGCCAACCATGGTTAAGTTGTTTGGCCGCTACAACTGTTCCTTTCGGAAGGATCCAAGGATGTTTGACCTGTGATGATCTCTTCCCTTTTGCAGCTCTCCCCACCTTCTCGACTTGCGGCCGATCAGGAACAAAGATTAACGTGCAGAATCTGACCACTCCAATGAAGATTCGGCTCAAAACTGAAACTTGACTGAGCAAATTGAAGTTGGACATTACCATGAAGAGATTGCCGAGTCGAATTGATCGTCCATGCATTTTCATCTGCAGGGAGAACGTTCAGCAGTAGGACCGCATGGAATGACTAAATGCTGGCCTTACACCTGACCTTGGCAGATTCCGAAGGACCATTGAACTCGGAACCAAGGATGATCCTAATGCGACTTGTGCCTTTTGGGACAAGTCTGCTGCGCAGTGGTCATCTGAAGGGGTGCAGACGCTCTCCTCCAAGGTGCAGATCGCAGGGGAGTGGACCTCTTTGGGTCCTGTGGGTAGCTCTGGACACTTTGAGTTTTTTTTGAAGTGGACTGGTGCCTGATCCGATCCTTTTGTATCCGTTTTGCATTGCCTCAAATCATCAGGTCTGTTGATTCTAGACGCGATAACACACGCCTCTGTTTTTGACCGAGAACCTGTTGGACATGTGGGGTGTACGTAGACAAATACTCCCCCTTGTTAGCGGTGTCTGGTTTACGTGAGCCAACTCTTTGCCTATTAATTAATGCTATGCCTCAAACAAATCGACCCACCCTATTGCATGGTCTGGGTCCCTAGGTCCCTAGACCGATTGCTCCCATGGTCCTGAAATCGCTATAGTGCACCAAGATTCACCAAGTACCGCACCTGCCATACAGAATGACATGCTAATGATGCATTGCGCCTGCTACGCATTTGTGCCACTCCTTAGTGCAAAAAACTTATGTTTTCGAACAGGGGCAGCAAGACACGTTAAACTATTGCGCCTGCCACGGAAAAGCGAGATAATCTTCCAAAGACAGCGCATCAGTAATTGCGCCTGTCGCACAAAGCAAGCTTCGACGCATGAGCCATCACATCTGAGTCTCACCAAGTGCAAAAACTCAAAGGCATGACATGCCAGGAGTTGCAAAGGAGCCCAAGCTTGTGCTTTTTGAGACTTTCCTGGTAGGCACATAATGTGTGCCTTTGTTGGTGTGTCCACCTTCCCAAGGCCTTGTCTCCCCTTGTCTCCCTTCTTGCGAGGCCTTGTCTCCCTTGTCTCCCAGCTTGTCTCCTAGCTTGTTCTCAGCTGGTCTCCACCGAGAATTGCACAGACTCTGTTTCTTAGAGCTCCGGGAGTGAGAATGATGTCATCTATCACTTTCATCCTCCCGACTTGACAGTCCTATGCTGCTTGATTCGAATGTTTGGATCCAAATACTTGCAACCCCATCGGATGTTTCCTTTGTCGTTTTTCGGCATCTAACGTTGCAACTAAGGAAGCAAAACCGAATCAATAAAGGAGTGCTATTTTTTTTACTTGTTTTTTCTCGCGGCAGGTTTTGGAGTTTTTTTTTGTTCCCGGTTCTATGCTCCTCTGCTTACATTGCTTCTCTGCTTTTCCTGCGTTTCCTGCTTTTCCTGCTTTTCCTGCTTCTCTGCTTTTCTGCTTCTCCCTGCTTCTCTGCTTTTGTACTTCTGTGCCTTTCTACTTGTACTATTCTACTTTTTCTTTTCTTCAGTCATGTGTTTTTGCTGCTCTACTTCCTGCTCCTTTGCTTCTTTGCTTCCTGTTTTTTCGTCTCTTTGTTTTTCATTTTCTTTTGCTTTATTCTGTTCTGTTTGTATCCTACATGAAATCCTGGAGAGACCCTAGGTGAAACCCAAAGAAACCCGAAAGAAATCCTGATCAGAAACCCTACATGAAGCCCTAAATGAACCCTAAGAAACCATAAATGAACCCTAAAGAAACCATAAAGAAATCCTAAAGAAACCATAAATGAAACCCTAAAGAAACTTTAAATAACCCTAAAGGACATCCCAAAAAAACCCTAAACAACACTATGAAAAAAAAACTAAATGAAACCTCAACTGACACCTTAGCTGAAACCTTAAACTGACACCCTAAAGAAACCCTAAATTGAAACCCTAAAGAAATGCCACCCTAAATGAAATCCTAAAGGAACCCTAAAGGAACCCACTTGAACCTTTAGAAATTGTGAAAAGAAATCCTGATAAGAAACCCTGGAATGAAACCCTAAAGAACGCTTAAATGAACTCCTGAATGAAACCTTAAATTGAAACCCCAAATTGAAACCCTAAAGAAACCTTTAATGAAACCCTAAAGAAATTCTAAGTGAAACCCTAAAGGAACCTTAAATGAGACCCTAAATGAAACCAAACTGAAACCCTGCAGAAACCTTTAATGAAACCCTAACTGACACCCTGAGAAACCCTAAATGAAGCCCTAAAGAAACCCATTTGAACGTTTATAACTCCTGATAAGAAATCCTGATAAGAAACCCCACATGAAACCGGGAAAAAAGAGCTAAATGAAACTCTAAAGAAACCCTAACTCTAAAGAGGCCCTAAATGAAACCCTAAATCAAACCGCAAAGAAACCCTAAATGAAACCCCAAATGAATCCCTAAATGAAGCCCTAAAGAAACCCTAAATGAAACCCTAAATGAAACCACAAATGAAACCATAAATAAAACCCTTAATGAGACCCTAAATGAAACCTTAAATGAAATCCTAAATGAAAGCCTAAAGAACCTTCAAGAGACCCACATGAACGTTTGAAGCACCAAAATGTAGCGAATTCCATGCCAATGAGAGGTTGAAATGCCAAAATGTGACAAATACCAGGCAAAATGGAAGGCAAACATTGCCAAATGTAGCAAATACCATGCACAATGCAAAGTGACCGTGCCAAAATGTAGCAAATTCCATGCAAAATGACAGGTTCTAGTTCCAAACTGTTGCAAATACAAGGCAAATGGTAGAAAGCCAAAAAACAATCCAAAACTTGAGGCAAAAGCAAAAGCAAAAACAACAACTAGCCTACACCCATTAATGAACGTGAAGTGGCCTCCGGCACCTATTGCAGTCATTTTCACGATTCCTGTCGCGATTTCATGTGACCATGTTCCTCAAAACACTTCTTGTGGCAGGAGCCTGGATTCATTCACTGCAGCACCACCCACCTCTCCATTTTTGCTGGCATCATTGAGGTGGCTGTGTGACTTGGCAGAAACGGTTGTGGTCGGGGTGGTTGTTTCAGACAGGAGACGCCCCAAAACGGAAATTTTGAAGTGGAAAGCTAGAAACTTATTATGGCAAAGACTAGGGTTTTTGGAGATACGCACTTTTCACACATATCGAAATTGATTTGGCTAACCTAGACAGGGAAAACAACCAAAATAGTTCGTTACAGACCAGCATCAGTGTGGGGTGTCAACCTCACCTTTATGGGTTGTTGAAGTTGTTGATGTTGCCCAAGACCTATCGAAACATTTTGGTTCACCACGTTTCCCCTTCCATGGTGCAGGCGGAGCGTGTTGCTTAGGCTGGAGTGCAGTACCTTGTCCACCGAGAGAGTTTTTGCTATATTTTTGTCGTATTTTGTAGTGTATTTTCGGACAGTCCTCTTTCATTTTGCCATTTTTGCCAAGTGGAAACGCAGATCTTTTCAAAGGTTGCTGCAAGAAACGGGGGCAGACCGTTGCAGCCTGAAGCGCAGTTCAAGGTACCTTGGGTCTTCTCCTCCAACTAGAGGCTCTTGAGAAGCTCCTGGATGGGGAATGGCTTGGACGTCCTGCTACATGGGTGGCGGCGCTGATGGTCGTAGCCACTCGAAATGGTGGGGAAACAACCCAAGCCCTCACAGATTGATTTAGCCTACGAAGCTTGGAAGGGTAAAGTAAATCAATTACAGAATTGTTGGCCCAGATATCCATGAAGTGTTCTCCCTATCTTGCACAGAGCATGTCAGTCTGAATACAACTTAGCACAGGTTCAGTTTTTTGTGCTTCGCTGTTGTGAGCGTATGATTTTCCATTCAAATTTATTTGCAGGTTCTCAAGGCACGGATAGACCCAGCTCCTATTGCTACCTGCGGAATTCCTCCTGCATCGGAATAGCTCCCACAGCTCTGAGGTGTTTGGAATTCTGCTGGTGCTTGCACGGCGCCTTGATCAATATCATTTGAGAAAGCTTCCGTTGAATCAGAGGGAGCTCTTGCTCCTGCGCCTGCGCTTGGATGGCAGCTTGGCTTGGTCATTGTACAGATTGTACAGGGAGGATAGGTGAGTTACAAGGGCAAGTGTCCCAACCTCTACCTTTGTTGAGAAACAATTGATGCAGTTCAAGGTGGAATTATCATTGGCGTAAGTGAAATGAGTGTTGGAAGTCAGGGGTGCACTTGCCATGCCCCATGACTTGCCAGGTGGTGACGCTGAAGGACTCGCAGGTGCGCCATGGGCTCTGCGGGGCTCACTCCAGTGAGAAGGTACATTGACACAGTGAATTCCCTGAAATTGGTGAGGTTCCACCGTGGATAGAGGTTCTAGATAATTCTGATGGGTGCCTGTGTCCCTCCATACTGCCATCACGTTAATGGCATTACAACCCCTGTTTTGCATATATATGTCTATTGTCTCGCCAATTGTTTAGACGTCTTGTGGGGCTATTTCTTCGCAACGTCTCATGGATATTGCAGCTCACAAGTCTATCGCGACCAAGGTTTCCTAGCAGGAACTCCTCAATCAAGCAACCTTGGGGGATTCCCTCGCCTATTTGCTCCATTTTCCTAGCGAGGATGTGCCGCCTTTTGTGCTGTCATTGACGCTGTCTTTCACTTCTTTGGGTGGTTGAGAGGCACGGTTTGGCACAGAACAAGCGTCGCTGCCTTGCGAAGTAGATTGAATGCGGAGAAGGATTAAGATGCGCCTGAAATAGTTGAAACATGTGGAAACCTTGGCTTTTTCAGGTTCTGCTCAGGTTTGATTGCATGTTTTTGGTTCTGTTTTGGAACGTTGCCAGTTGCAACATGTCATTTACAGAGTGCAAGACATGGAGCTTGTTTGCATCGCAGTCATGCCCCATGCAAGAGTTGACCAGATGTGCAGCGTGAGGCACGGCCTATATGATGCTGCAAAGGATTTATGAACGCAGATTCGACTTGCTTTTCATCGCTGCTGTACACAGCCTGAGAAATTTGCTCGCAAAATACGTTGTCCATCGGTCCATTGGACTGCTGCAAGTCTACAGGAGCTTAAGTGGGTCTGGGACGGCTGGGACGTGTGATGTCTTGTGGACATGTCGGAGAAATCGATGCGGTCTTGGCACACTTTCTGAGGAGTTCGACTGCTCCAGGCACAGCTCGTGTCCTCCAAAGCGCCTTTGGTGTGCCTTGGCAGCGGTCCGGGCACTGAACATTGCCTGGTGTGAAAATTGTACTGATGCTGAGGCGGTGGCGTCAGGAGCTTACTTGCCTAGGACGACCATGTCCTTTTCATAAGACGCTTCTCCAGCTCACAACCAAAGTATCCCAGCTTGTGCTTGCAGTTGGGAAATGGAACATCATGTCCGAATCTACCTGGGTTTAGGCCAGAGAATCCGGAAGTTGAGAATGGTGGGAGCAGGACCTTTAAGAGCTTCTTCAGTTTGAGTCAGGTTGCGGAAGGAGGGTGGTATTTCTATGTTTCCCCGAACAGTGTGTCCGCACTGAGGGGTTCTTACGGTAGGTGTTAAGGCCCAGTGTTGAATCAAGCTGGTATCTGAAGTTTGGCATCTTCCCTTTAAGTTTCCACACAAAATGACTCTGGTGAGATGTCTATGTGCATTTCGACTGCGCAGGCTCTCACAAAACCACGTCCGTGGGCAACGCGTGCGGCATTTTCCTTGTAAATTTCCATACAAAATGGTTCTTGTGAAATGTCCGTGTGCATTTCGACCGCGCAGGCTCGCACAAAGTGTGCTTCCCGGTCTTGGGATTGGTCTTCCTTCTCAACATCATCCTCGTCAACATCAACATCAACATGAACATGAACATGAACATCATCATCATCATCATCATCATCATCATCATCACCATCATCATCATCACCACCCACCAGCATCATCATCATCACCATCACCGTCATCGTCATCATCATCATGATCACCACCACCATCATCATCATTATCCTCATCCTCATCATCATCATCATCATCATCATCATCCTCATCATCATCCTTATCGTTTTCACCACCATCATCATCATTATCATCATCATCATCGTCACCATCATAATCCTCACCGTCAACATCATCATCATCATCATCATCATCATCATCATCATCATCATCACCATCACCATCACCATCATCCTCATCATCATCACCATCACCATCACCATCATCCTCATCATCACCATCATCATCATCATCATTATCAACACATCTTCACATCTTTTAATCTTGATATCCTCACATCCGCACATCTTTTCATCCTCACATCCTGACATCTTCACATCTTCACATCTTCTCATCCTGATCACATCTTCTCATCTTCACATCTGCTCATCTTCACATCTTCTTATCTTCACATCTTCACATCACACCTTCACATCTTCTCACCCTCACATCTTCACATCTTCTCATCTTCACATTGCTCATCTTAACATCTTCGCATCTTCACATCTTTCATCTTCACACCCTCACATCTTCTTATCCTTACATCCTCACATCTTCACATCCTCACATCTTCACGTCTTCCATCTTCACATCCTCACATCTTCACATCTTCTCATCTTCACATCTTCTCATCTTCACATTTGCACATCTTCACATCTTCACATCACATCTTCACATCTTCACAGCACATCTTCACATCTTCTCACCTCACATCCTCACATCTTCACATTCTCTCTTGCCCTCTTGCTCTCTCCTTCTTTTCTATTTCTCTCTTGAAGGCGCGGGGCAATGCCAACGAGACGGCACGAAACGCAACCTTTTCGCACGAAACGAGGTTCGATCGCCAAAAATTGCAGTAAAATTGCGATTTTACAACCTCGACGGCAACGCTTTCGCTCGAAATGAAGTTCGATACCAAAAGCTGCAGTAAAATTGCGAATTTTACAACCTCATCGGCAACGCTGTTGCACGAAATGAAGTTCGATACCAAAAGCTGCAGTAAAATTGCGAATTTTACAACCTCATCGGCAACGCTGTTGCACGAAATGAGGTTCGGTCGCCAAAAACTGCAGTAAAATTGCGATTTTGAAATCTCGGCAGCAACGCTTTCGCACGAAATCAGTTCCATCGCCAAAAACTGCAGTAAAAAAAATGATTTTGAAATCTCGGCAGCAGCGTTTTCGTGCTCAGCGGCAACGCTGTCGCACGAAATGAGGTTCGATCGCCAAAAACTGAAGTAAAATTGTGATTTTGAAATCTCGGCAGCAACGCTTTCGCACGAAAAGAGGTTCTCCAAAAACTGAAGAAAAATTGCGATTTAAGGCGCTTCTGTGTGTAAACGCGTCTGTGTGTAAAAGCGTCTGTGTGTAAAAGCGTTTGTGTGTAAAAGTGTCTGTGTGTAGAAGTGTCTGTGTGTAAAAGTGTCTCTGTGTCTGTCTGTAAAAGCAACTGTGTGTAAAAGCTTCTGTGTGTAAAAGCGTCTGTGTGTAAAAGCGTCTGTGTGTAAAAGCCTCCGTGTGTGAAAGTGTTTGTGTGTAAAAGCGTCTGTGTGTAAAAGTGTCTGTGTGTCAAAGCGTCTGTGTGTAAAAGCGTCTGTGTGTAAACACGTCTGTGTGTAAAAGCGTCTGTGTGTCTGTCTGTGAAAGTGTCTGTGTGTAAAAGCTTCTGTGTGTAAAAGCCTCTGTGTGTAAAAGTGTCTGCGTGTAAAAGCGTCTGTGTGTAAACGCATCTGTGTGTAAAAGCGTCTGTGTGTCAAAGCCTCTGTGTGTAAAAGCCTCCGTGTGTAAAAGCGTTTGTGTGTAAAACTGTCTGTGTGTAGAAATGTCTGTGTGTAAAAGCGTCTGTGTGCAAAAGTGCCATGTGTGTAAAAGTTTCCGGGTGTAAAAGCAGCTGTGTGTCAAAAGCGTCCGTGTGTAAAAGCGTCTGTGTGTAAAAGCTTCTGTGTGTGAAAGTGTTTGTGTGTAAAAGCGTCTGTGAGTAAAAGCGTCTGTGTGTAAAAGCGTCTGTGTAAGGGCGTGTGTGTAAAAGTGTCTGTGTGTAAAAGCGTCTGTGTGTAAAAGGGTTTGTGTGTAAAAGTGCCTGTGTGGAAAAGTGTCTGTGTGTAAAAGCGTCTGTGTGTACAGGAGTTTCTGTGTGTAAAAGCGTATGCGTGTAAAAGCGTCTGTGTGTAAAAGTGTCTGTGTGTCAAAGTGACTGTGTTTAAAAGAGTCTGTATGTAAAAGCGTCTGTGTGTAAAGGAGGCTGTATGTGTAAAAGCTTGTGTGTGTAAAAGCCTCTGTGTGTGTAAAAGTGTTTGTGTGTAAAAGCCTCTGTGTATGAAAGTGTTTGTGTGTAAAAGCCTCTGTGTGTAAACGCGTCTGTGTGTAAAGGTTTCTATGTGTAAAAGCCTATGTGTGTAAAAGTGTCTGTGTGTAAAAGCGTCTGTGTGCAAAAGTGCGTGTGTGTAAAAGTTTCCGGGTGTAAAAGCAGCTGTGTGTCAAAAGCGTCCGTGTGTAAAAGCGCCGTGTGGAAAAGCCCATGTGTGTAAAAGTGTCTGTGCGTAAAAGCTTCCGTGTGTAAAAGTTTTTCCCCACATTGACGTGTGGGGCTTTTGTTCCCCACATCTTTGTGTGGGGTTCTTGTTTTTGGTTCTTCATCCCGTCCGCCGTCCGCCGCCTTCCGCCCGGCACGCGTCACACCACTTGTCCTCACACCACTTGTCCACCACAACTTGTCCCCATACAACTTGTCATCACACAACTTGTCCCCATACGACTTGTCATCACACAACTTGTCCCCATACAACTTGTCATCACACAACTTGTCCACACACAGCTTGTCATCACACAACTTGTCCACACACAACTTGTCCCCACACAACTTGTCATCACACAACTTGTCCTCACTTTGCGTGGCAGGCGTGGCACTTACAGCACTGGGCTGCGTCTGTTGACGCCGTGGACGCCGCGGCTGTTTTGCGTGGCAGGCGTGGCACTTGCTGACATCCACCTTCGTCTCACGTGGCAGGCGTGGCACTTGGTGACATCCACCTTCGTTTCACGTGGCAGGCGTGGCACTTGGCGACACCTATCCTCACTTTGCGTGGCAAGCGTGGCACTTACGGCACTGGGCTGCGTCTGGTGGCGTGCTTGGGTCCCAGTTGACGCCGTGGAGGACGCCGCGGCTGTTTTGCGTGGCAGGCGTGGCACTTGCGTGGCAGGCGTGGCACTTACGGCACTGGGCTGCGTCTGGTGGCGCGCTTGGGTCCCAGTTGACGCCGTGGACGCCGCGGCTGTTTTACGTGGCAGGCGTGGCGCTTGCTGACATCCACCTTCGTTTCACGTGGCAGGCGTGGCACTTGGTGACATTCACCTTCGTTTCACGTGGCAGGCGTGGCACTTGGCGACATCCACCTTCGCTTCACGTGGCAGGTGTGGCACTTATGGCACTGGGCTTGCTCCGGTGGCGCGCTTGCGTCCCAGTTGACGCCGTGGACGCCGCGGCTGTTTTGCGTGGCAGGCGTGGCACTTGCTGACATCCACCTTCGTTTCACGTGGCAGGCGTGGCACTTGGCGACATCCACCTTCGCTTCACGTGGCAGGCGTGGCACTTATGGCACTGGGCTTGCTCCGGTGGCGCGCTTCAGTCCCAGTTGACGCCGTGGACGCCGCGGCGGTTTTGCGTGGCAGGCGTGGCACTTGGTGACATCGACCTTCACTTTCTGTGGCAGGCGTGGCACAACTGGTCATCCCACGTGACATCTACTGTCACTTTGCGTGGCAGGCGTGGCACTTACGGCACTGGGCTGCGTCTGTTGACGCCGTGGACGCCGCGGCTGTTTTGCGTGGCAGGCATGGCGCTTGCTGACATCCACCTTCGTTTCACGTGGCAGGTGTGGCACTTGGTGACATCCACCTTCGTTTCACGTGGCAGGCGTGGCACTTGGCGACATCCACCTTCGCTTCACGTGGCAGGCGTGGCACTTACGGCACTGGGCTTGCTCCGGTGGCGCGCTTGGGTCCCAGTTGACGCCGTGGACGCCGCGGCGGTTTTGCGTGGCAGGCGTGGCACTTGGTGACATCGATCTTCATTTTCTGTGGCAGGCGTGGCATAACTGGTCATCCCACGTGACATCTACTGTCACTTTGCGTGGCAGGCGTGGCACTTACGGCACTGGGCTGCGTCAGAATGCCCTTCGCCGCACTTCCTGGCGTTGGGCATCTTTGCGCGTGGCCGCACACCACAGACATACTCACAAACAAACACACACACACACACGCATACACACATACACACATACACACACACACATACACACATACACACATACACATAGACACACACACACAGCACGTACTTACGTACGCACGTACGCACACACGCGCATAAAACCCATACACACATATGTACGCACCGTTACCCTTACGTTTCCCCACTTCCTCTCCCAACTACATTGCATTACACTACACTACATTACATTGCACTACACTACACTACACTACATTGCATTACATTACACTACATTA